AGATATACCAAAAACTACACTGTGAAGATATACCAAAAACAATAAACATAAAAAGTAGTAGTTTATTCTTGAAACTAAAATTTGCAACACTGTTTTGTCTTTTGGTTGAAATGAAAATCGCAACGAGAGAATCGCAACGCGAGATGACAATCGCAACGCGAAATGAAAATCGCAACGAGAGAATCGCAACGCGAAATGAAAATCGCAATGCGATTTTGGTTTCGCGTTGCGATTCTCTCGTTGCGATTTTCATTTCGCGTTGCGATTCTCTCGTTGCGATTTTCATTTCTCTCGTTGCGACAGTCATTCTCTCATTGCGATTTTCATTTATCTCGTTGCGACTCTTCTGCAAATTGAAACTTGAATGGATTGCATTACTTCAACCAAAAGACAGAACAAAGACAAAGACAAATACTAACTTGAAAATCGGAACGAGAGAATAGCAACGCGAAATGAAAATCGCAACGACAGAATCGTAACGCGAAATGAAATCTAAGTGAAATGGTTAATCTATTATTGAAATGACCAGTAAACTTATCATCAGTTTCAATATGAAAAACCTACAATAATGCAAACATTTCAAAATAAAAATAATTAAAAAAACTAACCCTCGGAGGTTGATTTTCCATTTCTGAATATTGTGAGGGATTTCTGACCGTGAATGGTTGTGAGGGATTTCGCCGGAGATGGGGACGGAAATCTTCGGAGATGGGGACGGATTTCTTCGCCGTAGAGAGTGAGAGATGGAGATGGGACTGAGTTGTGATTTTAGGTTTTAGGTTATAAGTTGCGATTACGGGATTTTGTCTTAATATTCGTTTTTGTAATTTGAAAATAAAATACGCGTAGCGATTATAATGGCGCTTTAAATATCGCGTTGCGATTTACGGATACGCGTTGCGATTTTATGTATTATCGTTGCGATTTACGGATACGCGTTGCGATATACGGATACGCATTGCGATTTACCCATACGCGTTGCGATTTACGGATACACGTTGCGATTTACGGATACGTGTTGCGATTTATGTGTTCGCGTTGCGATTTTCATATTCGCGTTGCGATTTTTGAAAATCGCAATGCGAATTTGTACTATCGCATTGCGATTTTCAAGAATCGCGTTGCGATTTTGGAAACTGATTTGCGATTCTGGGGATCGCGTTGCGATTTTTATTTCGCGTTGCGATTTTGTTGGTCATTTTGGCAAATCCAAAAAAAGTTGGTTAAAATCGTATATTATAACTTTTTTTTGGTCACTGAGGCGATTTTCTCTTTAAGTAAAAGGGTACACGAGGCATTGTATTTTTCAAAAAAAAAAAAAATCAATTTGGTCTTCATTAATTTTATATATATATATGTGGTCATTGAACTTAAATACAGAATTCAATATGGTCTTTTGACCAGAGGTTTCTGTCGTTAACCGTTATAATGTTGATTTGAAATGTTGACATGACAGTCTATAATATTAACGTAACAATCCACGATGAATGGTGACGTGACTGATGACATAACAAATGTGTTAAATTAATTTTTTTAAGTTTGATGGTCAAATTGATTTTTAAAGTTCATGGGTTATTTTTAAAAAATATATATATAAATATTTTAAATTTAAAATGTTAAAATATAATTAATTATTAATATTATTTATTAAATAAAAATATGTTATGTTTAGTTTTTAAATATTATTATTTAATTTTACGTGGTAAAAGATAGTAAGATTTTTTGTCATTGATTATTTAATAAATAAAATAATAATATTTATTAAATAATCAGTGATAGAAAAATTAAATATAAAAGTATTATAATTCTAAAAAATACGAGCGTCATATAAGTTTTTTTTAATACAGAAATAGCATGTACCCTTTTACTAAATATTTATAGTTATAAGATTTGACATGAATTTTAAGATTTTAGTTTTTTAATACTTATAATACTTTTATTTTATATGATCTATATCTAAGATTAATTTACAATTACAATGATTCTTTTTTAATAATAATTTCCATTTTCAAGTAAGAGCTAACACAATAAATGTATGATTATACAAATTAGGTGTAATACCTCAAACATCGGGCCAGTGACTAAAATGTAAGGATTTAAAATTTAGCGATTAAATTTTGTTAAATTGAAAAGTTCAAGGACTGATTTGGAAATTTTTGTCTAGGACTTATTATTAAAGATTGAAGAATGGAAGGACAAAATGGTCTTTTGGAATGAAATGAATTTAAAATTCATTTTCAATGTTAATATAACATGTGGGAAATAAAGGAAATGGAAAAGTCTGGAACTCTTCTATTCATGTTCTCTTTTTCCTTGTTCTACCGTGAAGTTCCATAGCTAAGGTGAGATATCTTAAAGTTGGTTGTTCCTTTTATTTTTGGTTTGGTTTTGAATCTTTAGGTGGTATAGAAGCTTAAGGAAGTTTAAAGATGATTAGAAGCTAAGAGATTGAGAAATTATTGGTGAATTAGTAAAATGAGTTTTTAAAAGGAATTGATGAAATTTGAGTATTTATTGCATTTTAAAGGTATATTTGAATTTTTAAAGGTATAAATAAGGTGTTTGAAGTATTAGAAATGATTAAGAACATGTTTGAATGATGAGTATATTTTTTAGCTTTAAGTATTTCATGGAGAATTTTGGATGTTAAAAGGGGATTAATGGATATAAGTTGTGTGAGATAAGTGTTATTGAGTTTAAGGGCTTGAATGGAGTTAGAGGTATGGGATTTAGGTGAGTTTTGAGTAAAATTCGAAATGAATTAAGTGAAATATGGGTAAGAGTATCGATACTGGAAGAACAGTACCGATACTATAAGGTTAAATTGAAAGAAATTGTACGAATCGGATGAACAATATCAATACTAGTTGAAGTAGTATCGATATTGATGTGGAGGTATTGATACTGTAATTGAAGATAAAATTCCAGAATGTCATAATGGTATCGATACTGAAGAAGGTATCGGTACCATAGAAGATAAGTATCATTATTGTGGGTAGAGTATCGATACTATTTAGTCTGAAATGTTAAATTAGGTGGTTCATTTCGTTTATGTAAATGCCATTTGGTTAACCATTAATCTCGGACATGTTGTGTAGATTTGGATTGAAAGCGTACAAAACGAATTGACATAGTGAAGAGATTGAACGAAAGTTAAAAGGGTTTCTTTTAGGACTTACGTGAGGCAAAGGTGAATGCAACTTATTTATTTTATATTATATATGAGGACGGCTTTCGATAAGCCAACCTCGAAGGTTTTCAATCGAAAATAATTTTATTTATTTAATGCAATATTTTTATAATGTTTTATATAAATTGTATTTCTGATTTTTTTTATTTTTTTAGTACGTGAATGTGTTATATGTGAATGTGCTCTACGTGAAAATGTTCTATGTGAATAAAAGATACTTTGAATAATGAAATGTGAAATAATTATATGTTAAAGCCCAAAGTATATGTTATGAGAATTAGAGGTACAGTTGGCATGCCAAGAGTCGAGGGTTCTACACGGTCCTTCGGGACAAATTCTATGCGGTCTTTCAGGACAAATCTATGTGGCACTTCGGTGCATATTCTACGTGGCACTTCGGTGTAAATTCTACGCGGCACTTCGGTGCAAATTCTACGCGGCAGCTTCGACTGCAATTATAGTGCACAACCTCAATATACTCGCATATTTTGATTTCTCAGTGATATACGTTGGGCTAATAAAACAAATTGATATAATTTGAACAATGTGTAACAATATATGATGTTTTCATGAAGTGTATATTGGTTTCTATATGAAATGTTTTCAATGAAATGTATAAGCAAGTGTTTTTAAATGTTTTATTATGCTCATTATGTCTCACTAAGTCCATGAAATGTATGGTTAAAAGAGGATGCTATAATAATTAGAATTGAAGGATTAATCACCTAAACATGTATAATAAAGCACAAATTGAAGGATAGTTGAGCAATAACAGCAATAAACAAAATACTTAATTTTAATTTAATGCAACGCAAAAGAATATAGTCAAATAATTAGAATTAATTATATGATAATGATGTTCAGTCAAAACAAGCAGATGAAGCAGCAATTGAAACTTATCAATGTTCGAAGCTTTCATTTTGATTAATTTGGATCGATCCATGTCGTATACTTAATTTTGGTAGGTGAATCTCCTAGTAGGGATTTTTTACATACACAAAGACTCAAACTAAAGACCTTACTTAAGCGATATTAAGTTGCTTACTATCTGAACCAACCCTTGTTGGTAACAATAAATTTATTAAATTAAATTTAAATAAAAAGAAAATTTTGCCTATGTATTATATGCATATAAAATTACGTCATTATTTAAAAAAAAATTGAAATTAACGTTATCTATTCATTCAGTTGTTATCATCTATAACTAAGATTAAAGTGTAACAAAATTTTGATTTTTTTAAAATATCTGTTATTTAAATTCGTCGAACCCCACTTATCTATTTACTATTTAGAAACATTTTTTTAAAATTCAAATAAATAATAAATATAATAAAAGATAATGGATTTGATAATTACAATTCAAGTCTGCAAAAACGTTGGAATTTAAAATATAATAAAATTTGAAGGAAAAACATATATAATTTATATAGGATGAAATTCAAGCAAACATTTTTTTCCCATCGAATAGCCTGAAACGTCAAGGCTCAGGGAACTAACATTGTCATCAAAACGAGGTTTTATTGACCCTTTTCAAATAAAGAGGATAAGCTAGAAAAAAAAATATACAAACTTATAGGCGTGTTTAGGAATAAGAATTTGACCCGATCAAAACTCCTTTAAAATAATTAATAAATGTCAAATTACTGATTTAACTTTAGTGGAAGGGCACAAAAAATTTCAAAATGTTAGCTGCTTGCTAGGTAAACTTGATTTGATTGATGAATATCTAGGAGAAATAAACATGGATTTATCAAGAGCCAAAGTGAAGAAGAATCAAAGCTTCAAGTAGATAATTCATTTGTCTAATATGTTACCATTCCACACTAGAGAAAACCCAGATAATTAAGAGAGCTGAAGGAGAAAGAAGAGACGAATCTGGTTTCAAGGAGAGCTGCTTTCGGATCGATCAAAGTGAAGAAGTTGACCATTACATTTGGGGCAATCTTCAACTTGTTTGGGGACCATGAAATACATAAGACAGCTCTTGCAACCAGCCACAACCAATACATTATCTTTGTCTCTCTCTACCCGATGGTGGTTGCTGTTGTTGCAATTCCCTCTTTCTCTTGTGGAACAAGGAGATGTCTCCGATGGCGACTCTTCACTGCCATACGAGCTATAATCATCTTCCTCGTCATCGTCGTCTTCCTCTTCTCCCTCTGAGTAAAAACCTCCGCTGTACTGGGCTGCTGTCCTCGGATCCTCCCTTGCCTTCATCCCGTTCCTCCAGTTTATGTAATAGATCTCCCCTGTCTACCAACAACAACAGAAATAAGACGCATTGTAACAAGGGATTTAAATTCCAGTTGCGATCGAATTTTTCGATTGCTTTACGTTTATTGTGAACATTGTGTGTAATCGTACAATAACAATTTTGAGTAATACATTTACTTCTGTACAAAGACGGCTATTTAAATCTATGATTACCCAGAAAATTTGAAAGACTAGTGCTACTGTAATCTACAAGGATGATTAATGTTTTAGTTTTTACCTATTTTCAATTTCATTTTGCATAGGAAAGTACATCTGATATATGCATGAACTCTCAGCTCAGGAATTCACAATTCCATTTGGTTTAGCAAAAAGAAAGGATATATGTTTGCTTGTTTGTTTTCTAGGGTTCCTTTACGGTTAGCATGCTTGTGGGAGATTAAAGGAGACATTTCATCAGGGAAGCAATAAATACAAAGAAAAGACTGAAGAGAAACATTAAAGAAGGAAATCATGAAATACCCAACAAAGGAAAGGGAGCAAGATCTGCCATGGTTTTCACATTAATTGCGTCCGGAACACGAAAACGACTAAAAAACAGTTTTAAAATTTTTCCCGACGGTTAAACCAACCTTAAGATCAAGGCATTGTTCCCAATGGTAAGGAAGAGAGAGATGGGAGTTGAGCTCCAAGCTTCTGTCAGAACCGGTGATTGGTAGATTGTTGTTGTTGCTGCTGTTGTTGTTATCGTCCGATGTCGAAGACCTCCTCCGTGTTAATCCATCTTCACGGCCTCCTCCTCCCCCGCCACCGCCGCCGGTGTCGCTGCTTCTTCTTTCGTGGTTCAGAGAACAGTTTTTAAGGGACCTTTCCAAAGATTCCGTTATGGTCGCCATGTTCATTACTAACGCAGAATACCAACGAAAATCGAGAAATGGTGAGGAAATTGAAAGAGAGCGTCTAGGAGAAAAAGGAACTAAGGGCGTCTTTGTATAAAAAGAATTTCTCTCCTTTGGGTGGGAAAAAGAAAAGAAAAAAGTCTACGCGCTTCCCGTAACTGCGCGTGGTAGATTAACGAATATCACCCTGTATGGGCTCACACCTGTCATCAACAGAGAACCACTGCGGGTTGCATTTTGCCTTGCATCTGTGGATGGGATTTTAAAAGATGACACTCGCAGCGGAGGCGCGTGATGAGATTGTAGTGTCGTGAGCGTCGGGGGAAATGAAATCTTTGTTTCCGAAACGAAATATTTTATTTAGATTTTTGATAATATAATAAGTATTTAGAAATAAGAGATCTAAAGCCGAGAATGATGTTACCGAAAAGAATGCCGGAGCTTTGTTTTAAAGTTTCTTGTTTTTGAACGAGACCAAAAGGAAACTTGTTTACAAAAAGAAGAATGAATTCTTGTTGGGACCAAGTTTTAAATATAAATTTCTAGAGGGATTAAATTATTTTTTTATGTTGAAATGTATTGAATTGAACTATTATTATTTAAATGGGCTAAAATGTAAATTCTCTAATTAACCAACGGATAAATAAACTTTAGATAATTAATTTTTCAGTTGAACTAAACATCCCATTTATAATCATGGGGTACGATACTAGGATGAAGCATTATGGGTTCAATTGGTTTAGTATTGTAGCATAGGATATGAAAGAGAGAAGGCGTAGGCAAAGGAGCACACGGGGAGACCACTAAGGGGAAGTTTCCAAAACACTCAACGTGCAAAGGATTGAATGGGAATTATTTAACAGTAATGATGTGAGTAATAAAAAAGAAAAAAAAAGGAGAGTGATAAATCCCAGGAAGTGGAAGGAAGGGAATATTTGAGCAGTGGTGAGCCTAAAGAGAGAGAAGAGAAAAAGGGGTGGCTCATAGCAAATTGGTGTCAGAGTGGGGCAGTCTGCACATTTCAGAAGAGATTCCACAACAGGATAAATCCCACTAATAAACGCCCCCCTCTTCTTCTTCCTTCACTGTTCTTCCAACCCAACATCCGCCCTAATTAGTCACCTTTAGCTTTCCCATGCAAATTTAATTGTAAACAAGTGTTAATTGCCGATGACCAACGCATGATTTTGCATTAAAAAATGTAATATTTTATTTTTAATAAAACTATAATAATATAATTAATATAAAGTAACAACTATAGTAATTAGTAAGAGAAATATGCAAATCAAATAACATTTTTCTTCATTCTCCGCTTTTCTATTCCAAAACAACAATGATTTACAATATGCATCAATATACTAAAGTTTTATCTGTTAGAGATGACGAAACCTTACTAACTATAGAAATTGGAGTTATAAGATAACTCCTAAAATACTTAAGAACAAAGTAAAAACAACTTCCAATATACCTGATAATTAGGAAGCTACAAAATATTACAAATATTATATTCTTACTTGTCAAAAGTAGGCATTTGAAATTGTGTCTGACATTTTTTATTAATTAAAGTCATCAATAAGAGAATCTATTGATAAATCATGAGCAATTTCCTTCTCAATATATGTTATTAAGTAGCTCGACAAAAATTCATCATCCATTTTGTTACGCAAGTGAGTCTTCATTAGCTTCATGGACAAGAAAGTTTGTTTCGTGGTCACAATAGAAACAGGAAGAGTCAAAACAAAACGAACAAGTCGGTCAAGAAGGGAATAAATAACTAACTTTTAAGTCTTTACTAACACTTGACAAAATTATGAAATTGTTGATGTCCTTCTCAATTCCAGTTTCCCTCGAGTTTATAATTCAAATTGTTTTAATCAAACTTTTAAGTGCAATCTTTCCTACTTCGTAAAGTCTTTTGGGTAAAATTTATCTGCAAGCTTGCATATATTATCAATGCAAAATGACTTAAAACCATCTCTTGGATCCAAAGCAGAACTAAGCTTAAGTAACTCCACCATGCCATCTTTGAATATAATGTTCATCTCATGCATTTAAGAATCAATACCAGAGATAAATATATAAACTCAATAGAGATGCCCAATTGAGATGGAATCTCATTGAAGACGATACCTCCCTCTGCCACCTTTACAAAGAATTCATATCAAGTATCTCTATATCACATTTATCATAAAATGATATTATCTTTTCAAGTAAAGGATCCCACCCTTCTTCTATGAACTTTTGTATAATCTTTTTTGAACTTAATACTAAATGTAAAGCATTTAGTATATATTGATATTTATGTTGCAAAGATTGACTAAGATAATCAGAGATGCTTAGAATATCTAGCATGAGTTGCAAGATGAATACAAGCTCAAAAAATGTCATCACATCATAAACACTATCTACTTCACTTCTTCGAGTTAAATTTCCATGATTTATGATGTTCTTAATAACATAACAAGTGGCATCAAACATCTTGAGCAAACTACGAAGAGAAGTTAAATGTGAACCCCACCTTATATCTCTCGTACGTTGTAAAATGTCAATATGATTTTTTTTCATTTCATGTCTAACCCATCAATAACAATCATATTTGCAATATGGCTTGCTTGTTCATCTCTCAAATGATCTTGTCTCTTGCATGAAGAGGTAACTAAATTTATGATGATAGTCAAATGTGAAAAAAATTGTGCTATTAGAATCACTTCTTTGGATGTTGCCACCAAAGTCAACTGTAATCTATGAGCAAGGCAATGGATGTAACAAGCAAATGGACATTTTTAAAGTGTAATGCCTGCAAACCATTTAATTTTCTGCGCATATTACAGCTCAATCATATCATTGACCTCTTATATCTTTCACATTAAAACAATGATGTGAAAGAACATTACAAATATATTTCTTCAATGCGGATGAAGTAGTTTCCTTCACATGGATTTAGTAAAAAAAAAAACCATGTATAAAATCTTCTTTATCAACATATTTCAACACAATTGTCATTTACTCCCTTTTCGATTCATCACGAGCTTCATCAACTATGGCACAAGATTTGATTCTTTGATGCTTGAAATTTAAGAAACAATCAAGAAAATATAAAAATTTGAGAGAAAATTAGGACAAAAAATATAAGTCAAATGAATTTTCTTTTGTCGTCACTACAGCAAAACAGGTTTTTACCAGCGTTTTTTCAGTCATATAATTGCGTTTTTAAGTTCTGCTAAAATCCCTTGTGGCAAAACAAAAAATGCCGCCAAAAGCGCCGCTAAAACCAACGCCACAAAATGTAACGGCGTTTGTAGTCCACAAACTCCGCTAAAGGTTATAATTTTTAGCGGCGTTTTTTTCACAAACGCCACTAAAGGTTATGATATTTAGTTGAGTTGTTGAAAACGCAGTTATATATATTTTTTGTGGCTTTTGTAAACAAACGCCGCTAAATATTCTGACATATAGTGGTGTTTGTTCCCAAAACGCCGGTAAAGATCATGACATATAGCGGCATTTGTGAATGTAAAACGCCGCTATTGACAATGACTATAGTAGCATTTTCTATATAAAAGCTGCAAAAGATCTAGAACTTTAGTGGCATTTATTTCTAAAACACCGATATTGAGTATGTATGTAGTGGCGTTTGTATAACAAATGCCACTAATTAACACAAATTTTGCTGATGTTGTTTTCTGCTCTTTTATACCCAAAATTTAAATGTTTAACCTGTAGCATTATCCAATAAACTTGACATCCATAACAACAAACTTGAAATCCATAACAACCAACCTGAACTCCATAATAATAAATCAAAGTTTACATTAACGTAAAATATAATGTAGTTCAACATTGTTAACCATAATAAACAAAGCATATATCTAAAATTACACCTAAGATGGTGGACTCTGGGGTTGATTTCTTCATATCATATGCATCATAGATTCAAGTCGATTTTCAAATTCTTCACATTTTTTCTGATATGTTGTTTCTCTCTTTGCTTCCCTCGCTTCATTTACGACTTTCATTTGAGCAACTTTTTGATCCATTTCAGCCAACTGTTGTTTTAAATGATTAACTTCTAATTGGGAAGACTCACTCTGTGATGACATGTACTGAGATGAACTGAATTCAAAATATTTGGTTAGAGTAACGAATGATCATTGACAACGAACCTGACCATATCTTTCAGGACCCAAAACTTCATTAATAACTTGATTTTCGATGTCATCCTCAATAACAATACCATGACTTGAAGTCGTAGCTTCATACTTAGCCTTTTTACCCCTCAATTTTTCCTAATAATCAATTCAATAATTATTTTAAATAAGAATGTAATACTATAGATATAAATATAACATAATTCAAATCTTCTGTCCAATAAATATACCATAATTTCTACAGCTTCATTAGTCATAGAAGTGTCATTTTTTTTTTGTATGTGCCATGTCGAAGAGTTTTATTCGTCCAACTTTACAACAATACGTATTTTTCTACAATGTAGCCTTTTTACCCTCAATTTTTCCTAATAATCAATTCAATAATTATTTTAAATAAGAATGTAATACTATAGATATAAATATAACATAATTCAAATCTTCTGTCCAATAAATATACCATAATTTCTACAGCTTCATTAGTCATAGAAGTGTCATTTTTTTTTGTATGTGCCATGTCGAAGAGTTTTATTCGTCCAACTTTACAACAATACGTATTTTCTACAATGTATAATAAAAATTAAGTGTTGCAAAAAATTAATTAATAATATAAATAATTTTCGTTTGCTTAATGATATGGGAAATAGGGTGTACGTTGAGCATTGGTCATTACCCAATCTGTGTTATTAGCTGTACAGACAAATAAATACACATTTGCTCGCTTATGGAGGGCTTATGGAGGGCTTATGGAGTGACCTGAACAAAGATACAGTCTACTGTTCATTAAAACCTAAAAGATAACAGCCGGCCTATTGAACACTAAGCAACTTATGGTTCGAGATATTCTTAAATGGTTCCAACTAATCTATGGTACTTTGTTCATATATATATATATAACCATCCTGTAATAAAGCAAATACTTT